AAGTAAACTTGTACATATATCTCGGTTAAACAGAGCATTCTTGATAAGCTACTAGTTACTCAGCTGGTCAGGAGATTCATAGCCACAAAATATATTAATGTATCCGCAAGAGCCCATCAATGGTCCCTATTCTGAACGAGATGGATCAATTTAGAACTCATACATTTTTAGTATTATCCTCATGCCTAATTCTCGACCTTTCGTGTAAGCTTTCTCGACTAACATTTTTTCCCACATTTCTCATCTCCCCATTGGGGGCTATGTATGTTACTGTACTATTTCTGTGTTATGTAGCCCATTCTAAAAAGTGTTCCGAATTGGGTGTTAACAACGGCGTCACGCGTGGTTAAAGTCTGCTTGCTGTACGTTTGTTTGCCTGAAGCCTGTCGCCACTGAACGCTCCCCTTCCAAACAGTCTGGTGTTGTTTGCTTAAATATTTCTCTGCTGGACGTCTGAATTCTTTTCCGATTTCTCTGCGTTGCGAAGGAACTGTGTTCCGCTTTGAGAAGACAGTGACACTTGCAGTGTTCCAGCAGACCAACAAGTGCTAAACGATTTATGAAAACTGAACTAGGACGCTCTCATCCAACCGCCTAACTTTGCGCCCTTTCTAATCCTCGCTAATATACTCGTACAAACATCGGACAGACTTTAAATTAATATTGGTCTATTCTCACAATATTTCTGCGTGTACAGCAAATAGGGCAGCCAATTAGGACATTAGCAATGAAAGCAATCTTGTTATGTTTTGCTTTCATGCCGTCTATACGCAACGTCGGTTTCTATTTTCTAGTCGTTTCTTCTTTATTTTCGTTACATGTTTCGGCCTAACCGGCCGTAATCAGGTGTGCAGGTTGTTGTGTACAACAATCTGTACACGTGATGACGGCCAGTTAGGCCTAAACATGTAATCTGTATACCTGATGATGGCAAGTTAGGCCGAAAAATGTAAACTGTACACCTGATAATGGCCATTTAGGCCGAAACATGTAACCTGTACACCTGATGATGGCCGGTTAGGCCGAAAAGTGTAACCTGTACACCTGATGATGGCCGGTTAGGCCGAAACATGTAACCTATACAGCTGATTATGTTCGGTTAGGCCGAAACGTGTAGTTTCAATACATAGAAAACAACGAAAAATAGTAACCGACGATGCACATAGACGGCAAAAAGCGGAACGCAGTCAGATCTACGCAGCGCAACAGGACGCTGCAATATGACACTAGGAGCGTAACTGAGTCCGATACCAACTTCCTCCATACACTTAGCAGGCGGAGGCAGAACATTCCGCCAGACTAGAAGATTTAATAATCCTGGAGAAGAACATATGAACTATTTTTCATCTCTTCCAATTATAATTCGAAGACTAGGCTATCATAATAAGACCTCTTCGCATATTGTGACATGACAACTGAGTGCCGGAATAGTCGAGCGAATAGAAGCGACCATTGTTAGGCAACGGCGGGGTAAACGTAGTTCAGTGGCGCCAGACGCTGCCGCAGCCGTAGAGGATGTGATGTTCTCTATGATTTTCGTGCCGAGATTATATAACGAGGACCAGCTACAGTTGAGTTGATTCGGAAGTCGAAAGAAACCGACAGTAAACTATGGTCATGATTCCCGTGGGACTCGGAATCAAAAATCGCTGGCGAGGGCCAGCAGCAATTTACGTGACTGGCCGCTCTACTGACAAGCCAGTGAGTCAACAGTCAGTCGGAGGTCGAAGTCGGTGGTTAACAGTCTTGAGTCGCATTGTTGGCAGCAGGTACCTAGCAACGTCTAGTAAACAGAGGACCTGTGTGCTCTGAGGTAATAGTGATCTATAGAAGTGTAAATCAGTCACACTGTTATAGTTATTTGTAGTTATGAGTTATGAGCGCTCAATAAATCCAATTACCAATCGAAACTCAGTCTCTAGTCACTAACAATTGAAAAATGAAGACACAATTACTGAAGAAACAATGGAGTATTGTGTGAAATTATAATGATAGAGTTGTCTGTAGAACAATGATTGTTCTTCAGTTATTAACATTACTGTACAAAAGAATAAAATGCATGAAAGTTAACGTGAGTGTTAACGATGCAAACACTCAGTGAGTAGCACTCACTGTGCTTGTTAACGAACCGTATATTTTAAAGATTAACGAGGTGCAAGGGTGAAAACATTCATTCGAGTTACTAATCACAGACCAAACCCTACTATTGCCCGATGAACTGAAGCGTGACTCCACCTTTACATTTAAGTAACTTAACACATGCGGTACAGCCCTTGCTGAAAAGCTTAACCGGTTAGAAATTCACCGGTTGCATTAAACTGGGAGTATCACAAGAGCATGTTGCTGGACCCTATCTTGAGTAGGATGAATACAGCCTACATATTCACGCCCTTAATATCTATTTTAATATTATCCCCTCTATTCATATGGCATAAAGGATATTAGTTGGAAAGTCAGAAGGAAAGAGACCACTGGGACGATCAAGGCGTAGATGGGCGGACAATATTAAAATAGATCTTAGAGAGATAGGATGGTAAGGTATGGGATTGGATTGATCTGGCTCAGGATAAGGACCAGTGGAGGGCTCTTGTGAACACGGTGATGAACCTTCAGGTTGCATAAAATGCTGGGAAATTCTCGAGTAGCTGCAGAATTGGCGGCTTCTCAAAAGGGCTCAGCTCCGTGAGTAAGTAATTCCGACGTCTCCCCAGAATCTCTCCCCCTTTCATATTTTCAAATTCTCATACTTCGCCTCACCCACGTGTTCCCATAACCGCGCACTCCATCTCACCGTCCTATTAACTTCTGGTGAAGAGAGCAAATCATGAAGCTCGTCTAATTCTTTTTTTATTGCTAGTGGGGTGGGACTAAGTCCCTTGTACTGCGGCCACTTCTGGCCTACTGTACCAGCCCCAAATGATGGGTGAGGGTGATTGTGGAGCAATTGATGGAATGAAGATTGGCAGGGGAAACCGAAGTACTCGGAGAAAATCTGCCCCCGGCACCACTTTGTCCACCCCACTTGACCAGACTCAGAATCGAACCCGGGCCGCCGCGGCGGGAAGCCAGCAACTAACCGCTTGAGCTATGGCCCGGCCTCCTGTCACTTCATTTCTCTTCTGTCCAAATATTCTCCTCAGCACCCTGCTGTCAAAGACCCACAGTCTATGTTCTTCCATTAATGTTAGAAACTATGTTTCACACCCATACAAAACTGCACTTAACATTAACTAGAATTACAGAACTGGCGTAAATTGAACCACTGATCGACAGTGGTCCGCGGACCTCAATTTGGCAAACTATTCTCCTGTATTGAGCATCCTGTCCACTTGCAAGGCGCTTGCGCAGCAGCATTGCCTTGATGACTCTCTTCATTTCGTTAAGGACACTACAGACAACTAAGCACTAGCATCCTGCCGACAAGGCATGAAATTTACGAGAGACTATTTCGTGTCACGATGGACCTGACTCAGCAGAATTTTATTTGACGTTCTGACAAGCAAGAAATGCCCGTTCTTCATCCGGGACGCAACTGTTTTCGGATATCACACTGTATTTTAGCCAGAACTTTAAGGAAAGTAATAATAACCATACTTATACATTAATGTAGAAAAAGAAGTGAAAATTTTTCATTCTGATTAATTAATTAAACACCAGACCATAAAGACTGATAAGGGAGTGGAGGTATAGCTCCACCACTCTTGGGTTCGGTTCCTGTCGCTTCACCCCGCGTAAAGAACACCTGGTAACACTTGGATAAAAGGCGGTCTGGACGCTGCGGAATAGAGAAAAATATTTACTTCTTTCTTCTTCTTCTTCTAACGCCGGCAATCCAGCCTGTAGCCCGTCACTGTACCGACTGAGCTATCCTGGCTCCATCTTTTATTAAACAATAAATTTTTAAATAAGAAATTCAAGTTACATCCGCAAACTCCGATGCGATGCGAGTGCATTGGAATCACATTAAGGGCTACAAAGCTATTCATTACGTCACATGCTATGACTTGCTATTCTGTATTAGGTCCATTGCAAGAAACAGCAAACTGGCGGGAAAATTTAATTTCTATAAATGTGTATATTAGGTTAGATGCCATAAAATTATGTTGTAGTGACATAGCTGAGAAGTTCCCGCTTTTACGCGCGATTCTGCATTAAATGCATAAATAAACACAAAGGGGCGATGTTATGTCCGCCTTTTTCTTAGTCAGCCGATGTATTTCTTCTGCCAAAGCTACTCAGAGATTTCGGTGAAATTTGATAAATTCCGTCAGTGTACACCAAAAATTGTTGAAAGAATGTCTTTACGTACACTTCAAAAAGAGACTTGTATATTTTCGCAAAAATGTCTTACATTTCTTGGCAGAAATTTCAGACATAATATACTTACTTATTATTTATTCATGGAGCTGAGCCCTTCTTGAGGAGCCGCTAATTCTGCAAGTACTCTAGAATTTCCCAGCATTTTATGGAAGCCGAAAGTTCATTGCCCTGTTCACAAGAGCCCTCCACTGATTCATACCCCGAGCCAGATCAATCCAATCCATACCATCCCATCTTATCTCTCTAAGATCCATTTTAATTTTGTCTACCCACCTACGCCTTGGTCTTCCCAGTGGTCTCTTTCCTTCTGGCTTTCCCACCAATATCCTATATGCATTCTTCTTCTCCCCATTCATGCTACATGCCATGCACAACTCATTTCTTGACTTAATCATTCTAATTATACTTGGAGAAGAGTACAAGTTATGAAGCTCCTCATTATGCAGTTTTCTCCAACCTCTGTCACTTCATCCCTCTTCGGTCCAGATATTCTCGTCAACACCCTGGTCTCAAACACCCTCAGTCTATGTTCCTCCCTTATTATCAGAGACAAAATTTCACACCCATACAGAACCACATTCAAAATTATAGCTTCGTATATTCTAATTTTTATGTTTTTAGACAGCAGACGCGAAGACAAAAGGTTGTTGACTGAATGGTAGCAAGCATTGTTAACTTACCCCATATGCACGTAAACTGAAGAAAAGTCACCAGCACTACGATATGAACACCAGAGGTCATTGTTGTGTAGCTGAACTTCTGACCTCTTATCAGCTCGTCCAAGGTCAACTGAAGTAGATCTCAGGTCACAGCAGTGTCACCGTCGACCCACTCAACGACCTGAGGCGCCACTGTCGCTTTTCAATAATAAACACCACTTTTAATATTTCCGACAAAACGATTTCTAATTTCTTAAACTGTCCGGCATTAAATTTCTTCTTTTTTTTTACATTCTTCTTCTACCTATTAAAACTCTTAAATAAAATAATGTATTTCAATATCATCTCTGTTATCTGTCTCTTGTTCATGTCTGGTGGCATTTACGCCATTTTTATACGAATGTTGTTACAGAATTCAATTGTTTTCTTTATCATTCCACAGTGTCCGCGTGCACTTAGATTTTCAATTGTTTCTAGTTTAACTGTCACAAATGTTGTCTTTGTATCCCTGTAGCCGCTACGTCATGCTAACCCTGTCTGCAGAATCATGCCCATAACAGCCACAGACTCGCAGCAGTACGATAGCGTCAGGTTCTAGCAACAAACTACTGGAACTGAAGCTCAGGCCAAGAAACCTACTTATGCGTTAACTTAGTAGGCTAGGTCTGCGTTCTCCGTTATGTGGTAGGGGTATATCTAGCAGCGGAGTCGCTGGTAGAATGAAGACTTTCTCCTGCTGGTAGGCCCACACCGCTAGATTGCACTGCTTTGCTGGGCGTCATAACCTGCAGGGAAAACGTAGAAACGGCGTTACATGCTTGAAACAAGATCCTTTAGTAGGTTACATACTGACTGGGACTTTAGAATTCGCCTGTTGGAAAAAATATCACGTTGTAATGAATTCGAAATAGTTAACAGTGCTCAGCTGTTGTCTGTACGAGAATGCATTTCATAGGACAGAGATGTAACGGTGACTTCTATACACAGGACATCAATCATTTGAAGACAATTTTACTGACGTGGAAGGACTGGTCGAGGATACTGAATGAGGATGAAACAAAAATGTACAATTATGTTGAAAGGAAATAAAAATTTCTTTAAACAATACTTTATAAATAGACTAACAATAATAATTTATAAACGTATTAACAAATTCATGCACATATTAGTAACTGTTAAAAAGAATATTATGTTGTATCTATGATATTGTAATAGTAGTTCATGTATGAATTGATAATGTACTCCTGAAGATGGTCACTCCGACCGAAACATGTAAAAGATGAAAGATTAAAAAAACACAACATTTATCAATCATACTGGACGGTGTTAATAACCTTTTATACTAAAAGATAAATTTTTATGGCACACTGTAATGCTTAAAGTCATATTTTGGTACACCCTGTTTTGTAAACCACTATATTTTATATATTTTATATTATTATATTTAAGCATCCTGTTGCACTCTATACGTTAAATGATATAAACTCCGTCCCAAGTGCAAACAATATATTATATGTCCTTGATCTTGCTCTCCTACACACTACATTTTTCGGCCTCAAACGGCCATCATCAGGTGTATACCTCACGTTGCTTTACGTAGTAAAGAATAGCAGCGGCACGCACACAGGGAGACTACACAGAATAACGCCTGTACAGTGCTGGATACAAGAACTAGCCGCTGCAGCACTATAGACATAGGGCGAGTAACCCTGACAATTTTAAATTTTAAAATTTAGAGAAAAATTTTAAAGGATTTTAAAATTAGAACTAAAGATTATATAGTGCTACTACAGGAAAATCAAAATTAACGTGTGTAACAAAAACTAATCTATAAACCAGACAGATATCAACGAAGTAGATGTTGATAATAACAATGAAAGGAACAATGTGGTTTTAAATGTTAAATTTTAAACTAAGTTCAGTGTAAGAGCAAAGTGAGGTATGCACCTGATGATGGCCGTTTGAGGCCGAAAAATGTAGTGTGTAGGAGAGCAAGATCAAGGACATATAATATATTGTTTGCACTTGGGACGGAGTTTATATCATTTAACATATTTTATATTCCTGTCAACACAACATTAATTTCCAGTGGGTAGAGTTCGCTGTCTGCTTATCACAATAGCCGCGCGGTCTGAGGCATGAACTGTCTTCGCTCGCTCGAACACTGGGATCGTGGGTTCCAATCACCACTCGAGTCATGGATGTCTGTGTGCGTTCATACTGTGTGTAAGTAGAGGCCTTGCGACCTGCTGATCCCCCATCCAAGGAGTCATACAGACTGTGTATAAGCTAAGCAACTGAAAAGGCGACCAAGGTGCAAAAAAAGGACTGTAGACCTATAAATAAAGTTTGTTGTTTAGGACATGTTTCGGCAAATGGCTGCCATCATCAGGTCTGGGTTCTTGCTTCTAATCATTCTACACTTAGTCAATGATAGAACAATTGTAACTACAAACCTTGGCCGCGCCATAGCTCAAGCGGTTAGTCGCTGGCTTCCCACTGCGACGGCTCGGGTTCGATCCCGGGTCTGGTCAAGTGGGATTTGTGGTGGACAGAGTGGCGCTGGTGCATATTTTCTCCTAGTACTTCGGTTTCCCCTGCCAATCTTCATTCTATCAATTGCTCCACAATCACCGTCACCTATCATCAGGGGCTGGTACAATAGGCCAGAAGTGGCCGCAGTACAAGGGACTTAGTCCCACTCCACTTGCAATAAAAGAAACTGCAAACCGCGTCTCATGTTGTGTGATGACAAATCGCAAATTGTTTCCGTAACTCGGTACAATCGGAAACAACGCAGGTGCAATGCCAGTGTGAACTTCCCGGGTCAGTGTTAGTGGGTCGGTCAACACAGAAAACGTGTATCACGCAGGAAATTGAAGTCACGACAAGACCTTACATATCCTGCTTCTACACACGTGGACACACACAAACTCTTCCGCTATTCCTGTCAAAGTGTCTGCACATGAATACGGTTGCACACGGATCCCAGTGTTACTACTGCTAGCGATCCTCTAATCTGTGTCATTTTGTCCCTGCGCTTAACTTACTAAACACCACTTATTAGCTTCACGCCTCGGCTGCTTTACCCTCAGTTAAATAACTCCCGCTACCCTTGGAGGCCGCAAGGGCTCCAGAATTGGTCTGGATGACGCGGAGAGTAGAGAATGTTGCCCCTGGGCTCTAACCCCGACACTTCGGCCGTCCAGCTCCGGCTCTTTTACCCTACATTCCTTATTTTGAAAAAATGAAAATATGCTTATGTTATCTCCGTGCTGTCAGTGCGTCTGTGTATCCCCCACTACTTTTGAATACCTGAACCAATCTTTATGAAATTTGGTATGTATATCGTGGTTACTGAGCCCATCTCAAAGGCGCACTTCATAAATCCCTCCCATCAGTCTGTGTGTCTGCATGTGTATCCCTTAACGTTGCTAGGCAACTGCTCAGTAAGAACATTACCGCTGCAATCAATACAATCCTAACAATACAAAAACTGCTGGACGTGTGGTTTCCTTTGGGGTCCGTACTTTATCAAGGATAGTATGCGATTAGTTCTTGAGGTAAAAAAGGTAAAGCTATCACTGTAACAGGCCTTGGAGTTTCAAAGAGTTGTGAAACGCCGAGACTAACATAGTTTCTAGAAAATCGGCTCACAGATAGCAGTGAGGTTGTCAGCTTTACGCGCCGGCCGCCCTTTACCCTCAGAAAGATTCCTGGTACTCATTTCTGTTATAGACTGAGTCAACTCCAGGGCCATAGTGCCGCTGTGAGGATTAGGTGAATTGAAAAATCCAGTGACTTCATCGGGAATCGAACCCGCGACCTTCCGGCTTGTAGCATTGTTCCTCAACCAACTACGTTATCGTATGCCCCCCCCCTTTTTGAGGCATTAAACAAAACTATGCAATTAACGAGTACATGAACATGAACTGTAAATATAGCTGCTCCTGGCTTTACCTTTTCTCCTCGAGACGTAAGTACCCATGAAAACACATATCAACGCTGCTCAGGGAAAGTGTTCTTCCTATGCACAGATTTATGTTGTAGGATTTTAGGCTCTCACAGCGGTCAATATGAAGAATTCTGTCTTCTGGGTTGTAACGTTTATAGTCTGGTGAAAGTTAATCGACGTTTCGCTGGACACTATAGCAGCTATCTCTAGTAAACTGTTTCATGCTGGTTAGTGCGATAGAGGCGATATGCTAATCCGACACACCGACTTGCTTACAAAGGACTATACAGCGTTGTATCCCCGAAAACGTTCACTAAATGAGGAAGTGAGATGGAACAACACGAAAGCGAAGCAGAATACTGAGAAAGAGAGAAAGAGAGACGCGTAGAGAACAGAAAAAAAGAAACAACCTCTGACTTCTAATTGGCGTAGTTTTTTTCTATTTGGTTATTTAACGACGCTGTGAGCGGCTGTAATATTTTGTTGACTGATGAATTGGAAAGTATTTCGGGATAAAGAACAGTCTTGGCCGAACTACTCCGAAATTTTTCTTGAGGTACTGGAGCCGGACTAGCGTAGTCGGCATAGCGATTGGCTATGGGCTGGAAGACTGAGGGGTCGGAGTTCGAGTCCCGGTAGTGTCATGAATATTCTGTTCTCAAAATCGGCCTGACCGGTTCTGGGGTTCACCCAACCTCCTATCAATTGGGTACCGCTGGCTCTTGCCCAGGGGGTAAAGCGTGCGGGCGTGAATTTGACCACTCACCTCCAACTAGTGCCGAGGTCAAGAAAATGTGGCTCTATACATCCACTCCCCCATACGCCCTCATGACGTAGTGCTTAATTAGTCAAGAACAGGGATAAATTCACCATTACTTTACCTTTATGGAGGTAGTGAAGAAAACAAAAAAAAAACTCGATCAGGATAAGTGGTGTATGAACAAAGATTCGAACCGAGATCCTACAAGATACAAGTCTAAAGTGTTGTCTCTAGACCAGCTTGTAAAACGGCACGTCCACAGATCTAGATGCTAAGAACTTTTATTTGTTTCTGTGTTTGGTGCGTACGTGATGAGTCACTATTGCTGTCTTCAATTTCTGGAGGAGGACAGCTAGAACAAGGCCGAACAGAGGCCTCGAATCGTTTTATAGATGGGAACAAGGACATCAACCGAGTGTAATGATTACTATTTATCCATAATTGTAGAGAGTGATACACAGGCAAATTGTTAAGTTGCGACCGCAATTATGCAATGGTTTAATAGTTAATATAGTGTAATTTCGGTAACCCCAACTGCCAGCAATCCCAACTGACTTACAGCACCACAAAGAAATCGACACCTGCGCTATTTATTCTACTCCTTTCCAGTAAAACGCCTACCTACCCTGATGCGTCCCTTAGAAAGAGCTAACCTCAATCACTGAACCAGTGGCAGAGGTTAGCTCTTTTTAAGGGACCCAACAGAGCAGGTGTCTCCTTCTTCACCTGATGACGGAAACATGTCCAGTTCCCCCCCCCCAAAACAACTGTGTTCTCTGCTTTTTAGTATACCGGACGATAGAGAAAGGCGAAAACCCCAGTAGTTCTGAATGACATTGTCACGTATTTAGTGTCGTGAGCAATAATAATGGGTCTGGATTGGATGAGTAGATTTATTGACGCCTTCCTTTACGCTCTCAATCACAATCAATTATAGCGCTATCACTAGTCTACCAACTTCACAAATCTCTGGAACACGCTCCATTCTCGTCCATGTACTTTCAACTGAACTCTGTTATTCTGGGAACCTCGTTATATAGCCGCGGCACGGACCTGCAGAAAACATGTCA